CCGTGGGTGGGAGGAGGGTCCCCGAAGTAGATGGGGACCCCCCCATGGCGGGGATGGGTCCCTGGGGCTGGGAGGGGTCCCCAAGGTTTGTCGGGGTCCCTGTGCAGGAAAATGTCCCCGAGGCTGAGGGGGTCCCCGAGTGGAGGGGGTCCCCCATGGCAGGGGTGGGTCCGCACGGCCGGGAGGGTCCCCGTGGCACGGAGGGTCCCCGAGGTGGAGGGGGTGTCCCACGGCAGGAAAGGGTCCCCGTGGCCGGGAGGGGTCCCCAAGGGAGTCCCAGAATAGCCAGATATTGCCCCAGATGTAGCAGGCTCAGGGTTCGGTTGTGTCACGGGTGACAGGAGCCCTCCCACTCCGGGTATTTATTGTCCCCAGGGCTCAGCCCCAGCTCCCCGGGACCCTCCCCTGAGCCCCTGCCTCAGTTTCCCCGCACAGGGGTGCTGCCCCCAGCTCCGTGGGCCCGGGGAGGTCGGGGTGTGATGGCCGAGGGGGCCAGGCCCCGTCCCGCCTGGGCTCAGCGGGCAGGGCAGGAGCTGGCCCTGGGCCATGGAGGGAGGGCTTTGGTCCCGCCGCCGCACTGGCCGGTGCCGTGTGGCTTTGGGTGTGGAGCCGTGAGCCCGGAGCTGCACCGCTCGGAGTGGACGGGTGTCTGCTGCTGCTCCGGGTGTCCCTGTGTCCGGGTGTCCCTGTGTGTGTCCCTTCATCCACGGGTCTGTGCATCCGGACACTTTGGCATCCATGTGCTCACGTGTCTGTGTGTCCTCGCACCGGTACATCCATCTGTCCCTGCATCTCTGCATCCATACATCCCTGCCCCTGTATATCCGTGTGTCCATGCGTCCATGCATCCATCCCTCCCTGCATCCATGTGTCCGTGCATCCATACACCCCTACATCCCGATGTCCGTGCGTCCCTGTGCCTCTGCGTTGGTGAATCCGTACGTCCATGTATCCATATGTCCATGTGTTTGTCCCTGCATCCATATGTTTGTGTATCCATGTGTCTGTATATCCATGTGTCTGTATATCCATGTGTCTGTGTGTCCTTGCACCAGTGCAGCCATGTATCCATACATCCCTCTAACCATGTGTCTGTGTGTCCATACATCCCTGGATCCCAGTATCCACGTATCCGTGTGTCCGTGCGTCAGTACATCCCTATGGCTGTGCATCCATCTCTCCTTGCATCCGTGTCTATGTATCCAAACATCCCTCATCCTTGTACCTGTGCATCGGTCTGTCCGTGTGTCTGTGCATCAGTGCATCCCTGCATCCATGTATCCATACATCCCTGTGGCTGTATATCCATGTGTCCATGCATCAGTCCATCCATATATCCATATACCAGTGTGTCCATGCGTCCATGTGTCCGTGTGTCCATGCATCCATACACTTGTCCACGTGCCCGACCATCCGTGTGTCCATCCATCTGTGTGCCCGTATCCACGCATCCATGTGCATCCATGCATCCGTGTGTCCGTACCTGCCCCCTTGAAGGTGCCCTGGATTCTGCACCGTGGGTGGGATGTGACAGGGCAGGGGGTGGTGGCAGCTGGTGGCCACGTCCCCAGGGCTCGGGATGTCCCTGCTGGGCCCCAAACCTGCCGTTTCCCAGCCCGGGAGCAGCGTCTCCGGCCGGAGCAGGGACAGGGCCGCGGGGGCTGTGCTCAACCACAACAAAAAGGGAGGAAATAGCTGCTTTTTGGAGAATAGACGGAAAAGTCCTGGCCCTCCATGAGCCCGGGCGTGTGCCCGTGAGTCCCACCCTGTCAGCGTGCCCAGCCCCACCTCCGCTGCCCACACTGTCCCCGCGCTCCCCACGCAGGATTTGGGTGGCTTTGCTGGGATTTAGCAGCTGGGCTCTGTCACTGAGCCGGGCTGCCGTGCCCTGTCCCCCCCCGGCTGGCCACACGGAGCCCCAGAGCCACCCCATGGCAGTGGCTTGTCCCATCTGTCCTGTCCTGTCTGCCCCATCCCATCCCATCCCATCCCATCTCCCATCACATTTGTCCCATCATGTCCCATCCTGTCCCATCCCGTCCTGTCTGCTCTGTCCCATCCCATCCTGTCTGTCCTGTTTCATCCCATCTGTCCCATCGTGTCCCATCCCGCCCGTGTCTGTCCTGTCCCATCCCATGGTATCCCATCCAGTCCCGTCTCATCCCATCAGGTCTGTCCTGTCCCATCCCATGCTGTCCTGTCATGTTTGTCCCATCCACTATGTCCCATCCCACCCTGTCTGTCCTACTCTGCCCTGTCCCATCCTACCTGTCCCATCTTGTCCCATCATGTACTGTCTGCACTGTCCCATCCCGTCCTCCTCTCCTGTCCATCCCATCCTGTCCTGTCCCATCCCGCCAACCTGTCCCATGCCAACACTGTGCCATGCCATGCCATGCCATTCCATCCCATCCCGTCCCATCCCCATCCTGTCCCATCTCTCCATGTCTGTCCTGTCCCATCCCTCCATCCTGTCCCATGCCAATGCTGTCCCACCCCATCCCGTCCCATCCCATCATGTCTGTCCCATCCCGCCCTTGTCCCATCATGTCTGTCCCATCGCATCCCCATCCCATCCTGTCCTGTCTCATCATGTCTGTCCTGTCCCATCCCTCCATCCTGTCCCATGCCAATGCTGTCCCTTCCCATCCCATCCCATCACGTCTGTCTTGTCCCATCTGTCCCATCCCATCCTGTCCCATCATGTCTGTCCTGTCTCATGTTGTTCTGTGCCATCCCATCCCATCCCATCCCATCTCATCATGTCTGTCCTGTCCCATGTGTCCCACTGCATCCTGTCCCATCATGTCTGTCCCATCCTGTCCCATCATGTCTATCCCATCCCATCCCATCCCATCCCATCCCATCCCATCCCATCGTGTCTGTCCTGTCCCATTTGTCCTGTTTGTCCCATTCCATGCCACCCCATGCCACACCACCCCATGCCACGCTATCCCATCCTGTCTGGACCCATCCCATCCCATGGGATTTGGGGGGTGTACACATGCAGGTGTGCAATTGAGCCCTCCCCACTCCCACTCAGTACCCCCAGTCCACCCCCAGAGCCTCCAGTACCGCCCAGTGCCCCCCAGTACCCGCTGAGGGATGCCCACGGGCTGGTCCCCCTCAGGCCTGACGGAGGACGAGGACGTCCAGCGGATGCTGCGGGGCTCCCTGCTCTGGAAGATCAAGTCCCGGGGGGGCCCCAGGGAGCGGCTCTTCCGCCTGCAGGAGGACGGGGCGACCGTCTGCTTCGAGGGGGGCTTCAGGCGCGCCCGCTCCCAGCAGAGCTGTGAGTGACAGCGCCGGGGACGCTCCCCCGGGGGCTCGGGGACACCGGGCCACGTCCTGCACAGCCTGGAGCTGCAGGGAGGGGTTGGGACCTGGGCAGTGCCCCAAACCCACCCGTGGGGGGACCTGGGCATGAGCCGGGACCCAGACCCCCCCTGTGGCCTAGAACCCCACCCAGACCCCACCCTGGGGCCCAGATCCTCACCCCAGGACCCAGACCCCACCCCAGGACCTAGCCCACATCCTGGGACCCGGACCCCCACCTGGGACCCGGAGACTCATCAAGGACCCAGACCCCCACCCGGGACCCAGACCCCACCCCAGGACTCAGATCCTCACCTGGACCCCCACCTGGGACCCCAACCCCAATCCAGGACACACACCCCCACCCAGATCCCCACCTGGGACCCCGATCCCAACCCAGGACCCTGATTCCCACCCAAGACCTGGACCCCCACCCAGAACCTGTGCCCCAACTGAGTCCCAGACCCCAGCTCAGGATCCAAACACCCATCTA